GTGTTGTATCAAGACATGATCGATTTGATTTCGTGTTTGCGAATCCGGTGATGTCCAAGTATATTTATGAATATCCTTATGTTTAAACGTCGTACTTTTAATTATCAGGTTTTTCGAGATGGCAAAGTTTATCAGACGGATCCCATTATCATTACTATATTCGTGCAAACTTTCTTTACCAATCGTCGGAATATAAACTTCTTCCCATCCTACCTTTGCGTTCGCGTCACCTATAATCATTTTCATGTAGTTTCGCGGTAGTTTATCATAAACCCTTTCGAGTTTATCGTAAAATTCACTTTTGACTTCATCGTCACTGTCTTCGGTCGGACAATGTATGTTTATTAATGCGATTTTAAACCAACGTCCCTGAAATATAGCTACCGAAATTCTATCACTAAAGAATTGTACATCCCTCAAAGCGGATAGTAATCTACTCCTAATTAGAAACCCGGTACCTAAACAATGATTCCCGCTTCCTCCGTACCAAATGGTGTACTTTCCTTGCCTCATCGAGCCCTCCCCTGGCCAGCGAACCTCTTGCAGAGCCACGACATCCAAATTGTACCCATTCACCTCATTCGCGACCGATTTTAGCCCCCCTGCTGTGTTTAAACTCCTTACGTTCCACGTACCAATATTTAAATCCCTATATTTCAACTTGCGCCATGAATCCCCTAAAGCAGTCCCCACCCGGAGACCCGAACGGGGGACTAGTTTACCTCCGGATAATGAGTGTTTTACGTTAGGGAGATCCATGACTTTTTGTGGTGTTTGGTGAACTAAAGATATGTGAGTAGGGCGTTCAATCCTACGTCACACTCTCCAGCAAGTCTGGTGGGCCCCTACCTCCAGCAAGTCTGGAGGTCCCCTCCCTCCAGCAAGTCTGGAGGTCCCCTCCCTCCAGCAAGTCTGGAGGGCCCCTCTCATTGTTGGTCAGCGAATCCATCGGACTTAGCCGGGAGGAACTTCCAAGGAATTTCCACCGACCATCCCCACATCCGCCACCCGTGGGGCGCTCCCCATACGCAGTAATGAGCCCGTGCGAGGTGTCTTGGGAAATAGGAAAATAAAAAGAACAAACCGTGGTTCAAATGAAGATTGTTTAAGCATGTGTAATAAAAAGAATAACTGCTAAATTAAAAGCTCTTAGTAATCCTAGCGAAGACAATCTCGAATACTTCCGAACCTTAAAGAATGAAACGACTAAATTGGTAAAAAAAAAAAAAAAGGGAGTATCTTAAAAATAAAGTAATAGAAATAAAAACTAATTGAATAAAAAATAACATGTACAAAGGTATAAACAGATCACGTAAATGTTTCGGGCCCATAACGTCTGGAATTAGGGATGACAATAACAATATCCTGACTGATCCGGTAGACATATCAAACAAGTTTAAGAATCACTTTGACACTATTATAAATATGGGAAATAATGATCTGTGTTCTCCGTCTGAGAACCAGAGTGGTGAACCATTAATAGAAGAACCGAATAAAGAGGAAGTTAAAGTGGCTATCGGAAAATTAAAATCTTTTAAATCAGCGGAAACCGATAATATTCCTATTGAACTAGTTAATGCATGCGGTGAAGTTGGAGTTTCTAAAATACATTTGTTGGTTAAAAAGATCCAGAATGATGAGAAATTGCCTGAAAATTGAAAGAATCTATTCTTATTCTGATTCATAAAAAGGGCCAGAGGACGGATTGTAATAACTATCAAGGAATCCAAAAAAATTAGTAAATCTAGTTGTGATCTGCTTGACGGAAACACGCAACAAAGTTAGTAAGTTTATCGGTAATTATGTATCTGAAAAGTTTGAGGATCATTTGGGTTTAAAACAAGGTGATTCCCTTTCATCTGTCCTTTTTAATATGGCTTTAGAACATGCATTAGGGAGGTAATGCTTACCGAAAAAGGGTTGAATCTGGGCAGGGTAACACCCTTGCTTGGCTAGGCAGATGATTTGGTCCTGTTAAGCGAATGACACGGAGACTATAAAACTAAATATGACAATGTTAATGAAAGGTGGTAAAGAACTAGGGATCCAAATAAACATGGATAAGACAAAATATATGGTTACATGCAAAAATGGCAATAATTCCGGTGATATCGATATAGAAGAGAATATGTTTGAACATGTAGAGAAGTGTAGGTATCTAGGATCTAGAGTAAATAAAAAAATAAAATTGAAGAGGAGACTAAGTTTAGGCTGAAGGCAGGAAATGCTTGTTGTTTTTCTGTGACAAAACTTCTTTGCTAGCTCGTCCTGTCCCGGAACTTAAAAATTAGAAGAGAGAGAAATACCAAAGCAGTGCTTCCCTACTATATAGGTTTGCTCGATAAACAGCATACTCATCAATCCTTTTTTGGACATAGCACTTAATTATAATTGAATCACATTTATATACATAGCCTTTTCCTTGTTTTCTCTATCTCTCATCATATACAACATTAACACTATACTATACTAACCTAATCACTATTATACAATATATATATTTCGGTGAAACCGATATAACACAAACTTTCAAATTTATAGAAAAAAAAAAAAATATATATATATATATATATATATATATATATATATATATATATTTGAATGCCAAAATTCCAAAATTAGAACGCACACATACCAAGTAACATAACCCTATTAACACAGACAAAAAGATATGATTAGATAAAATATTTAAAATTGAATAAATAAATAAATAAATATCCTTAATTAACCTTTAATAAAACCATTATTCTATCTAAGGTTCTTAATTGATACGAAAAATGGCTGTTTACATTAAGGGATGAGCAACGTCTTAAGGTTTTTAAAAATAAAGTATTTCGTAGAATATTCAGACCGAAGAAGGTTGAGCTAACTAGGGAGTTCAGACGGTTACACAACGCCCTATTTCATGAACTGTATCCGGTTAATATAATTAAGGTGAAAACATCGCATTGAAACAATTGGGCTTGTAAAATTATTGGACTTAGTAACGAAAGAATTCCCTAAAGGTCAATATTTGCTGTGCCGACTAGTAAACGTCCGAGCAGTAGACCGAAGCGAAGGTGGGTAGATTGCGTTAAGACTGATCTGAAGGGACTGAGTTTGGATGGCGGCTAGTGGAGTGAGGTATGTAAACAGCAATTGGTGGTGTCAGCATTGAACATTCTGGTTTTCAGCCTTTTATAATTAATAATTAACTCATTTTCTTTTGCTTTATAATATTACATTTCTTGTTACATTATTTTCTGCTAACTATACTTTTTCTTTCCCTGAATTTTACCAGTATTGGTTAGTTTTCTGAATAAATATTATGTCTTCTGAAACTTCTGACATCCACGGTGACGCCTGTTCTGTTTATAAAATAGTGAAGAAATATAATGGTCTTCATAAGTTATAGTTTGAAATCTGTCTACAGGATTATTCCATTATCACAATTGTTTATGATGTCATGTTATTTGTGGTTTACATAATATGATCTTATTTTTATTTTGGAGATATGATTCATATACTCACAAGCCCTAGTAGAGGTGGAGTTTTTATTTATATTTATGAGAAAAAAATAAAATAAAAATCTGCTCTGAATATTTAAGTGATAAAAGAAAATGGCTGATTTTGATTAGTTACTTTTGATGCTTAAATAATTAATTATTTTTATTTATTGAAAAGAAAGTTATAAATAGATTATCTTAGAACTTACCTCAGGTAAATATATACCAACAGAATAGTAAATAAAGTTCTTTACAATTACATTTGGTAATTGTAAAGAACTTGTTTAGCTTGAGGTGAGTTTGCTCGTAAGCCAATGGAAAAAAATGTACTCTAACTCAGTCTCACCCTAGAAATATAAAAAATAATAATCCAAAAACAATATTACATTATATTACAAAAGAACGGGAATTGTGTTTCTTTCAATATCAGAGATTGAAGTGTATTTGAGGCACTAAAGTGGAGATAGGGCTGCACGAGCTTTTGTCCATACCGGCAAACTCTTCTAAAGACTATGAATGTTTTTCTTTTTTTAATCTTTTTTTTATATATCTATTTTTTTTCTACTTATAATTTATTTATTTTTACTATGAATTTCTGTATTTTATTTAATTTTAACTCCACATTACATTTCTTTGGGTTTATTATAGTTTTTGTTTTTGTCATATAGATATATATTTTTTATTTATTTATTCTTATTTATTTATTTTTTATTGTATTGTATATATGGTACGAATTTTCCTAATTCAGCTCTAGTACTCAGAGCCCCTAAGTGTGGCAAAATGTATTATTTTTCAATAAAAAGATGTTTAATTTATTATGCCAATCCCTTCCATGGGTGTCAGGGATATTGACATAATAATTATGCTCTTGTAACTGGTACTGATTCTAAATTTGAATGCTGTGGACTGTACATAAGTTATTTGATCATTATAACTAAACTATTGGATTGAACAGATTGTTATATTTGTAATTATATTTTTATTATAATTTGATTTATTTAAGCCGGATCTATTACAATGAATGGTTAGTGGATTAATGAATTTGGTATTTCAAACTATTTTAAATGTGGATTAGGTGGGTGGTGGCAGAAAATGAGTTAATTAAGTACTTGCTGCATTCTTCTCCCCGTCTTCTCTCATCTTCCTCTCCTCCTCTTGAGTATCTACTCCATCTCTCTTGTGAAAAGGTTGTTCAGATGAAATTATGGATGGCCAGCTATGTCTATAGTCTCAAGTAGACATGATTCTAGCAGGAACTCTGCATGTATGGACTGTCCTAGTTGATTCTCTTGCCGGCCAAGAGATGGCAGCAGTGATGCTTGCTCCTCCACTAGATTCAAATTTAAATAAAATGGGAACATGGCTGTGTTCCCTTAACAAAAGATAAAAAAAAAAAAAGACTATATAAGTATATTAAGTATTTTGTATTAAGAAGTATTTTGTATCCCAAATGTCTAAATTATTTTTTGTTCAGGACTCTACTTGTTTTTAATACTAGTATAATTTTTTTTTTAGATTTCAAAAATGCCAGGATTACCAACCAGGCCAGCGATATATGACATTGACTTGGATCCCAACACCGGAGTTATTGAAGGATTGTTTTGAACAATAAAGTTAATGTATAAGTTTAATAAAACTGTTTGAATTTAAGTGATTAAATTTATATTCTAAAACAATGTTAAGAGTATATATATTTAAATTTGTAGGCATCTGATGTCTTTTCAATATTGTTATTTTTGTAAATAAATATTTTGTTTATTATTGCAGTTTTAATTATCTATAATATAAAAATTACCATAAACCGCCACAAGAAAAAAAAAAAAAATAGTTGAACTGTTAATCTGATGTATTTTTTTTTTATTACTGCGGGAACTATTAATTTGGTATAATTCTGCTTATTTAAAGATATGTTCTAAATCTCGTGGTTCTAAGGGTGTATTTTTTATTTATTTATTTATAAATACATTACATCATGTCAAAAAGATACATTCCATGCTTGTGGTTGCAGTAACCTTATACATGACATATAGTGGTATGAATGTTGTTTAGTAGATTGAAATCCATTTTATACAGTAGGAAAACCCCCATAAAAAATCTAGATAAGATATAAATTAAAAACTAGCTTATAATCCTTAAAATTACAAGAAAAACAAAATACAATTTATATACATAAGAAAACTATATATATAATTATACATACTTATATACACACATACATGCACATATATATATATATCTATACATATACATATATATACACTTACATACACACACACACATACATACACACTCACACATATATACACATACACACACACCCTATAAATATAAATATACACACACATCCTATAAATATAATTTATTAATTGGGGTGATATAGTTTATTGTTATTTATTTGTTAATAGAGAAGAATCCGTTAAATTTTCGTAAATAAACAGATTGATTTAGACGTTTAGTAGTATGTGTTTGGTCCGTCTGTGTGTGTACCGTTTCAAAGATGTCTTGTCATAGTTTCCTATTGTTCGGATCATAGGGTTTTCAGACATCGGTGTTAGCTCAAAAAATCTCAGAGTTTTAAAATAAATATGTTGTTTTATAGTGGGAAGCTGTAACTCTGATAGCATAGTTTTTTTTTTAATCTGTTTATTGAATAATAATACAATCAGCCACTGCTAGAGGGCTATAAGCATTAGGACTAGAAGTTCTCATTTATACAATATATACAAATAATAAAGAAATAAATATAAATATAAGAAGTAAATAAATAATACTGGTGAAGAAGTTATAAAAATAAAAAAATAAAATAAAATAAAAACTTCTAAACACAATCATACCTATATACAATATATACATTCGCCCAAGAATCTCCGAGCCAGGCTTTTTCCCCCACACGTGGAAGGCAAAGCAAGACTCCGGAAGATCCCAGCGCCACTTTTCCAGCCGCATCACTAGTATTAGAAGCCAGTGGAGACTGAAAGAGGGCACTAGAGCCACAGATGCTTAGGACATGAGTGGAGAAGCTGGCCATTGCCAGGACTCCAAAGGCATATTTACAAAAGATCTCGAGGCTACTGCCGTTTCAACCTTCGAGGGGGATGGTATGGATGCTCGGAGCTGGATAGGGATTGCGCTAGAGGATTGGGATGATGAATGAGGTTCTGGTGAAAGTTGGAGAATCTGGATGGGATGATGTCATGGACATATGGGATGTTAAGGTCATGGTGTAGGGTCTTGTTCGTGACATAATATGGAGCATTGACTATTGTTTGAAGGACTTTGGACTGGAAGGATTGGATGCGTTTGATATTCGATGATTTAGTTGTCCCCCACAGTTCAAGTCCGTAGGTCCAGATAGGTTTCAGTATGGTCTTGGAGATTAATAATTTGTTTTCTGTTGAGAGATGAGATGTTCTGTTTAGTAGTCTATATAGCTGACCAAATCGTCTGTTAAGCTCTTGTCTTTTAAGTCTCGTATGTGGGTTCCAAGTCAGTCTTTTGTCCGAAAGGAAGAGGAAGTCTGTGTCTGAGTAGGGAAGAGGAATTGAATTAAAAAGGATTGGCGGACAGGATCTGCGTCGAAGAGTGAAAGTTTCATGCTTGCATTTTGATTCATTAATTTTGATGTGCCAGTTGTTGCACCAACCACTGCTCAATGAAGGAGAGGTGTCTTTGCAGGTTCTGAGACGCTATTAGAGGATCTGAGTGAGAGGATAGGATGGCAGTATCATCAGCAAATGTTACTAGGAAGGTATCAGGACTTGAAGGGATGTCAGCGGTGAAAAGGATGTAGAGAACTGGGCCCAAGACACTGCCTTGTGGAACACCAGCCTCAATTGGATAATGTTTAGAGAGTTCAGTGCCGCAGCGGACTTGAAAGGAGCGATTTGAAAGGTAGGATTTGAGGACTAGGTACAAGGGCTGAGGTAAATGGGTTTTGAGCTTGAAAAGCAAGCCATCGTGCCACACCCGGTCGAAAGCTTGAGCTACGTCCAGAAAGGCACCAGTGCAATATTGCTTGTTTTCAAATGCAGAGGATATGTTGTCCACAACGCGAAGGCCTTGTTGGACAGTGGAGTGTCTTGAGCGGAATCCAAACTGATAGGGAGGGATATTGTGGGATTCGAGTATGGGTAGGATGCGTTTGAGAAGGATTTTCTCAAAGATTTTGGAAAGGATCGGAAGTAGGCTTATCGGTCTATAGGATGATGTATAATTAACAGGTTTACCTGGTTTAGGAAAGAGGATAATTATGGAGTGTTTCCACACCAGAGGAAAGTGGGTTGTGCGGAGGATACAGTTGAATAGGTATGTAAGGAATATAATTGCTTTTTTGGGAAGTTGTCTGAGGATCTGGGAAGTAAGGAGATCGTGTCCTGGAGATTTGCGAGGTTTTAGGTTCTTTAAAAGGAAATTGACCTCAGAGGGGTTGACGGCTGTAGGAGGTAAAGAGAGAGGAATCGGTGAAGAGAGGAATTCTTTAACTTCAGCAGTATGGGAGGGATGGAGTTCAGGATGAGGAGTGAATGTGTACGATAGATGTTTAGCAAACTCTTCTGCTCTATTCTCATCTGACGAAGCCCAGGAACCATCATCACGGCGGAGGGGGTGGGAAATGGATTGGAATTTAAGGATTTTTTTAGTTACATTCCAGAGGGAGTTATCACTTGCAGATAGTGAGGAAAGATAGGAATTATAGGATTGGGATTTAAACGTGGCCAGTTTTTGTTTTACTTGCTTGGAATAATAGTTATATGATTTCCGATCATCAGGATGCCTGGTTCTTTGCCAGATGGTCCTAGAGCATCGTTTTCTATTAATAAGGTCCAGTAGGTCTTGGGGTAGAGGATTTGTTTTGCGGTATTTTTTAGAAGGATCAGGTGAAGATGCAGTCCAAACTGCTTGTTGGATCAAGGTAGTCATGGAATATACTGCTTTATCTAGGTCTGTAAGTGTTTTTAAGGAAACTCTGAGGTCAATATTATCATCCAGTATTTGACGGAAGAGGTTCCAATTAACTGGCCCCCTGATAAATGAAGGTGGAGGTGGTTTGGGAATCGGTGATGTGGAGACCGTTAGGATTAGGGGACTATGGTCTGAGGAAAGATCATCAAGTCTTGAGATGCAATAATTAAGGGACCCTAGACCTTTGTGGATGAAAAAATCTAGGAGATCGGGATTGCGGTTAGGATCTGTTGGTCAGTATGTGGGAGAATTGGGTGAGAGGATGTTGCTGTGATGGGAATTAAGTGCAGATAGCAATGTTCGTCCTCAGGAATTTGTGGTTCTGGCTCCCCATTGCTGGTGTTTAGCATTTAAGTCTGCACCTAGAAGGAAGTGGTGTCCTTAGGAGTTAAGGAAGGAAGTTAATTGGGATTCTGAGATGGGTGTTTTAGGCGGGGAGTATGCTGCGACTACTGCTATTGGGTAAAGGGAAGTTTGGATTATCACGGCAGTGGATTGTAGGAAATTATGGGTTAGCAAAGGGAATAGATAATGGGAAAGGGATTGATGGATAATTATGGCAGTGCCAGCATGTGCTGTTCCATCAGGATGGTCGGTTCGATAGATACGATAGTTGGGGATGTTAAGTGGTTGGTAAGTCGAGTTTCAGTTATTAATGCTATATCAATGTTTTTGTCCTGTAATAAGATTGTTAGTTCGTTGATGTGATTTCGAATACCATTCGCATTCCAAAGGAGAACGGAGAGGGATTTGATTGGGGACATTTAAGGATTTCTCGGCAGTGGGATGAGGTTGGATACAACATTGGTAAGTAAGGAAATGAGAGGAGTGATAAGTGACCTGAATTCAGAGAGGAAAGAAGTCAATAGGCTTGTGAGGTCAGTGGCATTGGGAGGAGGAGGAATGAATGCCTGGTTATTAGGCCTAGGTTCAGAGATGGGATAAGGGTCTTGAGGTTGAGATGTGAATACTCGAGGTTGAGGTTCTTGTGGCAGAGCCTGAGTTTGTATTGGTGCAGTGTCTCCTTTGAACATCTGAGCATAGGACACTCTTGTATTTACAGTTCTAGAGGGTTGTCTTGGTGGCCTGGATAGCCGTTCTCTTCTTGGAGCTGCATAAATTCTTGCTTTCAGTTCCTTATATGTTTGGCAACCCTTGTAGTTCGCTGGGTGCCCTTGATGGCATAAAGCGCCTACTGCTGGTGTTCTTCTGGACTTCTGGCAGTCCTCTGTTTTATGTTGATCACCGCACCTGACACATCTAGGAATGTGGTGGCAATAGCGTTTCGTATGACCATAAGCCTGGCAGTTATGGCATTGTACAATGTCGCGCTTAGTGTAGGGCTTTTATACAACAACGCTAGTGTAATAAAGGCGTGTGACGTTGTAAATGTCTTCAACCTGGGGCGTTCGGTCAAGGTCAACGAAGAATAGTGGGAGCGGTATTTTATTTTTTGTGCCAGGCTGTTCTCTATCTTCCTTGAATATATTCACTATTTGGCGAACCCATCTCAGTTAGTTCTTCTTTAATGGCATCCAGCGGTGTTGATGGGTGTAATCTCCTGATCACCACCCTGAGCGCTCTCTCTTGGCGCAGCTGATATGTATGGTAATCCGCCTTAGCGTCAGATAAATACTTGACAATTTTTCTGTACGTATCTGGGGTGTCAGACATTAATTTCGTGTCATTAGTATTTACCTGAGCCCACCATATTATTTAATTATAGACACATTAATTGAAATTTTTTTATATTTCTAACGAATATTGGTGGGGGTTTAGGTTCACTAGGGATGGGTAC